AGATGCATGGATAAATGTCAACCATTGAGCCAATAGTACTTGGAAAAAACTCACTTGAGTTTACTTTCAGGTAACATATCAAAGAATGCTGGTGAACACAATCAAAATGGCCATATTGGGCTTTCTGGAGTATAATATACCTGTTTTAAAAGTTCAGCAAATTGTGCCCTTGAAATTTTAGAAGCTCCCTCCACAGCATTTCCTCTCACGTGAAGTGGAATACCAGACAAGCTTTCTACAAGAATCTCAAACAACAGGTTTATGCATTGATATATGAAGCACATTCAGAACTAAAAGAGTGACACAGAGAATGAACCTGAACTTAAATACAACCTAATCTAGTTGCACCATTCTTTTGAAGCTCGGAGGAATCCAAGTTATGAGTAGCGCTTTAATGCCCTTTACTATTACAGCCTCTTCGCCGAGCAAAGGCAGCCAGTTCACGTGGCATAAAGAGAAAGTTTGGGGCCCTCCCTGTGACCCAATGAGCAAAGAAAGGCAAAATACATATCATGGAAACTAAGAAAATAAGGCATCATATGGCAGAACAATTGCAAATATTCTCATTGTAACTATAAGGCATGATCAGCCGCGGCCGGCTACGCTGTTGTGAATCACTGGGGCAGAGACATCTAAAGGGCGTGTAAGGAGCCTACTTAAGGGGCCCTAGCACATGAATAATTTTAAGGTTTGGAGACAATACTCTGGTCCGCAAATAACACATAAAGTGCACATCTTTTTGGACGGTTTTGCAAGCACCTGCAGGGCTCTTTATTCTGCGGAAATTGCCCGGTACGGGAAGGCCATAATAAGGGCGAGGTCCTAGTATAAGGTATCTGGCCCAAATTCTTAAAGTTAACTTGAATGAAGTTTCCAAGAACCCCATTATAAGTAAATGAAATTATGGGCAGCCAAAAAAATCCCTGACCCATAGGCCCCGGTTATTTTCCGATTAGGCCTGCCCTGTTAAAGTCCTCTGGATGTACCTGGGAAATGAAAAGCAGGGCGGTTGGAAAGGATGAGATGGTATGTGTTTAAGCGCGGGGGAGGCCGGGTGTGGCGGAGAAAAATGTTCTATCAATTTACGACAGGCTAGGCCATCGTGCAACAATAAATAGGCTAATCTAGTAGTATATGGTTAATATCTGGCACACTGGGAGGGATGCGCAAAAATGAAAGGCGCTTTGTAAAAGCTTCAAAAGCTAAAAAAAGCCTGAGGAATTGTTGGGCCAATATGGATTCAAACCTTGGGGAAAAAAATTTCTTTTTTTTTTAACCCGCAAAAAGTGTGCCACCGCTAGAGCCATGGCAGAAGAAAAGTAAAAGCAAAATAATGGCAAGCAACAAGCACACCCAGTTTGATAATCGGGCGGGGATTTGAAATTAAAAACACAAGGCGGCCTAACATTTTGGCTGGACTGAGATAAGTCAAAAGAAGAATAGAACAGGGCAGTAGAAAATCAGACATGGAATAAAAAATTTACATATGTTTTCTAACTTCATTGAACGGATGATTGTCACTTTGGTTATTTATTGAGGTTGGGCTGCTGTGGATAATGTACATGCCCATAAATGGCCCCTGTATAGTGCAAATTTATTGGGTGGGGTTAATTGGTGGGGTAATTGGGGCTTAATTGGTCACAAGCATGCTCCAAAATTGCAGACTTCCCTCTATATATCTGAGTCTAGGAAGATTTGCAAGCCAAATGAAACACTGCTTCTGGATCCCCAAATCAAAAAAGCGGTGTTGATCCCAAGCACGTATGCACTGGCCTTAATGGAAGGGGCCCGAGTTAGTGAACAAACACTTTGGATCTCCCTTTCGTTGGCAACAAGGACAAATCCAAAAATCCCAAAATTTTATGAAAAACAGAAAAAGAGAAATCTTCATTACGCTAGGTAAGGTTAGGCGCAGAGTGCGCGCGCTGGTTCACCCTCTGGGGCGAAGCCTTAGCTGAAGCACTGGGGGAAACTTGTGGGGGTACCATGCATGTCTCAAGGAAAGGTTAAAAAAAAAGAAACATAAGGGTGAGACGAGAGGACTTTATAAGCAAATTTGAAAAAAAACGTTGACTAAAAATAACAGCTTATGAAATATTACTCGAAAAGCTTAATGGGTCTAAACATTAGCCGAAACGAGTTTGTGGGCACGGGTTAAGAAACATGGCCCAGCATTAGAATTTAATGCCTAATTTTGCCCTTTGGGGCTTTTAGGCCCAATAGTTCGGTCATCGAATGGCTATTTCGATATGTACTGTTACACTAAATATTGGTGTAAAAGAGGCGGCCCATATGCCCACGACCCCCTAATTAGATACGGGCCTATTCTAATGGCCGAGGCGGGTGTCTGATACAAAATGCGGGGCTATGCTACGAGCTTAGTTTCTCCCCTTTTGGCCTAAATATAATGAGCTTAGGGATAATATATAACGAAAAACAAGGTCATATAGCCTGAAATTATCATCAGCAATTCCACAATCCACGTACAAGAATGAAAAAAGACGATGTGAATCAAAGCATAACGTCGAAGAAGAGGAGGCAACATATCAAAAGGGAAACCATCAGTAGCTAATTTATCGCAATCTGGAAAAAGAGAGTTGAAATCAATGCACGTGTATATAACTCAAAGCTCGCTTATTTTACAATTTGCCTATCATTAATTAGAAACTTGTGTTATATGAGTGAAGAATCAAGCTGACAATAATTTACTCTGAGTCATCCCAGCTTAGCCCCAAATTAAGCCAAGATGCACAACGAGCCCCTGTGTTCCAACTGATGGTAACATATTCAAATGAAATATTAGAGCATAGTCAGCGCTTAATCAAGATACACACAGTCACAGACACTCTTGGAGGAAAAATTAGGGTTTCAAATATCAAATTGTGTAAGAATAATCGAAATCTCGAAAGATATGTAGCTGAATCGACCAGAACAAGGAAAGAAACCCTAGATTAAAGAAGAACCAAAGGAGGAGAACTCACGTGCCTAGAGCAAGAGGAGCGTATTAAGAAGATGGGAAATATCTGTGGTTGTTCTGGAGCATAATCACGGCCTTAGCCCTACTAAAAGTCGTTTCTTTCGATGCAACCGAAGAATTAGTGTACATGTTAGACATCAAATTAATTTAATGCCTAATTTTGCTGGGCTTTTACAAATAGTCGGTCATATAGCTATTTCTATATGACCGTGTTAGAAGACATGCAACTTAATTTAATGCCTAATTTTGCTGGGCTTTTATAACTCAAAGCTCGCTTATTTTACAATTTGCCTATCATTTTAATTAGAAACTTGTGTTATATGAGTGAAGAATCAAGCTGACAATAATTTACTCTGAGTCATCCCAGCTTCGCCCCAAATTAAGCCAAGATGCACAACGAGCCCCTGTGTTCCAACTGATGGTAACATATTCAAATGAGAACCAAAAGTGTCAACCTAGGAGCATGAGAAGAGTAAAGAAAATATGCACAAAGGCAACCAAGTTGTACCGGGGATTTGAATTAAACACAGCGCCTATTTGCTGACTAGATAAGTCAAAAGAAGAATAGAACACAGTACAACATCAGACTGAATAAAAAATTTACATATTTTTACAACTTCATTTGAAGATGATGTCATTTTGGTTATTTATTGAGTTGGCTGCTTTGGATATGTATGCATATGCCTGTATAATTTATTGGGTGGGTAATGTATTGCTTATGTAACAAGCATCAAATTCAGACTTCCCCCTATATATCTGAGTCAGGAGATCACAAAATGAACACTTCTCAAATCAAGTTGATCACATGTATGACTGCCTTATGGAAGCGAGTTAGTGACCAAACACTTTGATCTCTTCGTGGCACAAAGACAAATACAAAAATCAAATATGACAGAAAAAGAGAAATCTCATACCTAGGTAAGGTTACAGATCCTGCTTCCTCTGCAGCTTCTGACACTGAAACTGTGTACTGAATGTCTCAGAAAGTTTAAAAAAAAAGAAACTATAAGGTATGA